TTTTGTTTCTGTTCATCTGTCTTGCTTCTTCCCTTGCGTATTCTTGGGGCGATGCGTTTCTCTTTACTCAGACGGTGTGTCCTTCTAAAATGACCAGTGTGCACTTTTCTCTGTCACTTCTTATTAATCTATGTTATACCGGTTTGTCCTTCTTTGTGGGGGATTGGCGGGTGCTCTGGTGTGGTTTGCTTCTTCTTTCCCATCAAACCTCTATTATCGTCCTTACATTCTACCCTCCTCCTTTTTTGTGTTTGTTACTCTCTTGTAAAACCTCTAATCTTTGACACTTAGGCTATATGACCTCATTGTGTTGCAAGTGCCGTAAACTTATTAAAACTAAAAACTGTCCTTCTTTTCTCTGTTACTGTCATTGTTACCAGCGTGTACCAATTCTCTTTGAAAACATGTGTCACTAACAGGGTCATACACTGAAACCTTAATGTCACCTGTGCCATCTTTTACAGCACCTGGTGTATCAACTGTGGTTAATCAATAGGGAACGCATACAACAGTTTCTGCTTACACAATACCCACCACATGTCGACCGTGTTCGTTTACCATGGCGCGATACCCTATTGTCGTGTGTGGGTGGTTAATGGGTGCTTTGGCGTGGTTTGCTCCTTCTTTCCTATCAACAAACATCTATCGTCCTATCTCCCCTCCTGTTTTGTGTTTATTACTCTCTTGCAACACCCGTAATTTTGGGCACCTATATTATATGGCCTGATTGTGTTGCAGTGCAGTAAAACTCTTACTAAATCAATGTGCCTTGTCTGTTATTGTGCATAATGCATAATATTATTATATCTCTGTACCTGAATCCTACAGTTGTATTGCTTGCGGATAGTAAGAGGGCACCACTGGAAGGTCCTACTTCATTTCCTTCCTTCGGTTGTCCCTGTCTCAGTCTGTCTGTCTTACTATTCCCCCACAGTGAATGACTGTGGGTAGTTTGTCGCATGCTGTGGCGTGGTATGATCCTTCTTCCCTATCAAGCATCTATCGTCTTTACCTCTCCTCATTCGTCGGTCGTTGGCGGGTGTACTGGTGTGTTGTGCTTCTTTCTTATCACACATCTATTGCCCTTTTTGTGTTTGTTACTCACTTGTAAAACCTCTAATCTAATCTTCGGCATTTATTTGACCTAATTGTGCTTCAAGTGCCGTCCACGTTTA